AGCAAAAACACGCAGGTCTGTTAATGTTCATTTATTTACTCGGCGAAAACCTTGAACAAACAGCGAATTGTGTTCGCAATATGTAACACAAAACATGGATATATGTTATTTTAAATAATATGAAATTATGCGAGGAACCAATTAGTGGCACTTATCACTTCGCTTGAAAAACGGTAGACATATATCAATATCAAAAGTTGGAAAATGACACCAATATTTTATGATAATTTGGTATTTCGAAGCATTTTCGTAAGAATCTTAGATGCAGGTATAAAACATAGATAAAAAAGGTTTATAGAATATTGGATAACAATTATGAAAGCATATATGTTTACTATATAACTACACACAAGTGCATATATAGAAGTAGATAATATTGCTTATTACTTAAATATATGTTCATTGGACTAAATTATAATTATTGCAAGTATATGTATTGTGTGAATTTAATAAATAGGTATATGTTTCATTGTCGATTACCAGAAGTAAGTAAATTGTATAATTTATAAGCAAATTATTTTATTTTTATAAACAAATCAAGATCCTTTGTTTCTATTTCAGCTCCATCGATGGTAGAGAAGGCCCGCAGATAATGCTTTCAATATTCAGAAGGATGTCTTAATGGATGTCCCATAAAAAAATGCTTTAAAATCACAGTATAAAACCTTTCCATCACCGAAGAACGGCCTATTTTGATTATACTACATATTTCTATTTTTTATGAATGAGAAGACATCAATCATGCAACTTACTGAACATGGCAAAACTTGATAAAATACATGAAAAATATATATTAAAGTAAAATTACTAACTTAATCTCACTCCGTGTTAAAGTATAAAAAAATAATACATTTAGATATTTGGCCATCTGATTAGAAATAAATCATCTTGAAAAAATAAATGATGGTTTCTCATTGCAGAAATCTTCCGAAAGCCATGGAAATTCAGCCGATTCAGGAAACTTAAGGGATTCCGATTAGAATCTCTTAGGCGCGCAGCGAAATTTCAAACTTTAATGTTTTTTTATAATTTAAGCGCTAATCGTAGGCCTATAATATTTTAATATGTTTTATGATATAATGTAATGTAATATAATACAATATATAGGTAAGTACTCTGATTCAACCAAGTTCCACGCATAAATTGTAACAAGAGTATACTCTTATGTAGTATTATATGATTAAGATGTGATAGAAAGAAGTATGAAAGTATTTAATTTCAAAAATGAAGAATTGTGCTTGATAAGGTGTTTAAATATCATAGAATTTTACTTTAATGTAGCGGTTTCCAACCTGTGGGGCGCGTGCCCTCGGGATGGGGGGCGCCAGGTTGTCCTAAGGGGACGCGTACATCTGTTTCCAGAATACTATTATAAAAATACCCAACAATATTTTAATGTTATGAAAAAATAAACAAAAATAATTAGTTTTTATGAATATTTTTGTATAACATTGCATATTAATTTGTAGTCTGATAATATCAGTTGAGTATTTATAAAATTAAACAGTTAGACAAAAATTAAGGGGGGGGGGGCGCAACATTTTTTTTATTAGAGCAGGAGGGCGCGTTGCAAAAAAGAAACCGCGCTGCTTTAATGAAATAAATAATGACTATTTTAGTTTTTTATTATTTGTTATAAAATAAGCAAATGATTTCAAAAGTACACTTTTAAAACATCATATATGATCGTGCCGTATTTTTTATTGCTCTAGTATTAAATTTTTAAGATTTTTTCTGAAGAAGAAAACTATCACAATTTATCAGTCCTCAATTTTATTGTCATAGTTACAATCAACGCTTTCGGTAAATAAAATATTTTAAGACAATATTCCGAAAGTTCTCAAAATAGCAATAACATTAAATGTGTTATGTAGCTAGAAAAACATCAAAAAGCTTTATTAAATCAGCATAACTAAGAAGTTTATTTGTATGTATAATTAAATTTGAAATTAGAAATAATGGTATAATCCAGTGGTCAGCTTTGTGTTGCACAATATTTATAAATAATACATAAAAATAGAGTGTACACAATACGATAATAATATGTATTCTAGTTTCAAGATTTAGGTATTAGAATAAATTCTAATTCAAGCAATTTTATAGAACAACATTCACTGCCTAAGGTAGAAACGTATTTCAGAAGTAACCATAAATGTACATAAACATGTATTTGCAAAATAATTGAATTTGATATTGAACTGCAATTCTAGATGATCTAGTACATGGTAATCATCCGTTTTAAAAGTGCCAATTTATAAATTGTGCTTTGTGAATAAAGCTTAACTTAAAGCGATGTCACTGAATCAAGCAAAACGTATTTAAAAGAACAACATGTGCCAATAAGTAACATTTTATATATCAAAATATCTGAAAAACTTTTGTAACTTAAAATTAATTACCTAGTGTCTATATATAATATAAAATTACAATTTATGACTTTCAAAAAATAATTATTTATACCTTCATCTGTTTGAATTTCATATATCTTTCAGGCTATTTAAAGCAACTTTAATTCGAATGGTTTTTCAATTTTTAAATATGCTGAGTAAAAGTTTATTTACTTTATGACACTTCCAGATCAAGAAAAAGCATTAAAAATTCAATGAATTAAAAAAACACTGATTTATATATAATAATATGCTATATTTATATGTGCTTCAAGGACAATAAATAAGTAAATAAGTAGGATATTTGATAATAAACAATAAATTATCACAAACGGAATTATCGCAGTTTCAAATATAAGTCTCACTCTGGCAGCTATTTTAATTAAATCGCTTCACAATCATTGGTACATTTAAAATAACTTAAACTATAATAAATATTGAAGGAAATCTTATGCGTTTATGGTTAAATAATATCAATAATTGTGAACTAATTGAATCAACAATTCTGTGTTATCAAATTAAAAAATAACGGAAATCTGAATTACAAAATAACGGAAAGCTGAATTACAAAATAGCAAAATTTAATAAAATTTACTCCCATTATATAATATAATACCTAATTTTAATTATCTAGGTAATTACAAATATCCAACAAATTTTGAATTTTGTGTCCCTAGAGCGGACTTTTTAAAAACAATTTATGATATATATATATATATATATATATATATATATATATATATATATATTAAATATATTTTCAAAATTTTATGGTCTATTTTACCTATTTTGAGAAAAGATGGGTTTAATACAACTCTTAATTTTCGTCTATGATACCACAGAATCGCTTACTCATATATATGGATTGATGTGATATGGAGATATATGTATAAATTATTATTGTTATCATATTCACAAAATATTTATATATAATTTCATTTTCAATACAAATGTTATTATCTGAGAAATATATACGTTCTAAAAAACGTATATCTAGTAAAATCTAACTTATTATTTACTGAAAAACTCTGTTAGAAATATTTGTGCTTATAATAATGGCGTAGATGAGTCTGAGCGTTTTTATTAAAATTTTAATGAATAAATTAATATAATATTCATACGTAATGCAATTATTTGTACAATTTATTAACATTTTCCACAAATTGCAAACTTTATAAACCTTTTCTACAAATGTTGGAAGTTGTTATTTCGCTATTCTATATTGATGTGCATTAGTACTATAAAAGCCATACATATTTTTGTCACCTACTTCCATTTAATTTTATTTCCAAAATTGTTACGATATGTTATGAGCTTTATAGCCTCTAGGACCCTCGAGTAAAAAAACGCCCAGAAGCTTTTACTTCTATCACTATTATATAAAAAACAAATATATATTCACAAAATTTTATTATTGTTATATGGATATTAGTAAAATATGCTCAAGCAGTCTCAAAATAAATAATATTGCAGCATACCGAGTCAATAAAAAGGCACTACTGAACAATTTTCAAATTAGTATATAGGTCAACCAGCGATTCGTAAACAATAGTTTCTCCAAAAATTACATTGTTCCAATATTAAATAATGAAAACTAAGCAAGTATATAAAAAAAGGTAAAAGAAATATTATCGAAATTCCGAAATAAACTTAAGAAATCAATTCTAATCCTATTTTTGTTTATATATTGTTAATAAATATCATAGATAGTTAAAACGTATATTTAATTTTTAGTGTATATTTATTGAAGATAGAGAAATATGAAATTGAAAATAAAATTATCAATTTTTGAAAAATGACTCGGGCAATTAAGAAGCTTATTCGCTTTTCTATAGCAAAGCAGTTGAAATATAGGAAATATTTTGCAGGAGAGTAAAGTATTACTTAATTTGTTTCAAAAACACCATACTAGTGTGGAACGTTTTTCAGACAGTATTGTCTTATAATCAAATACGTTTTTCAGTGAGTATTGTACATAACGCGTTCAATATTCACGACATATAACATAGGTGTTCAAAATCAGATGGGCTCTGATTATTCGAGGTAGTAGAATATTCTAAACATTTATGCACATGTTGTCCAAAAATGAACACAATTATATACCAAACTGCCCATACTGTTAACCAAAACAGAGTTTCAACCCAGTGTGCTTATAAACCAATTATTGACTCGGTTTAAAATAAACTTACTTATAACGTTTTACTTAGGTTTACTAATAAACTAGAAGGAAAATAGATCGAATTATCGCCTTTAAAGGAGATCAGTGTCAAATAATCTCTTCAATGCAATTAAACTCAAAGCATGATTTTCTTTACAGAAGTAAAAATAAAATTTAAACAAGAATAACTAAGACATCTCAACAATATTAAATAAACTTTTGTTTGCATAAAAATATTAAATAATTTAAAATGATAAATAAAATATATAAATATACATCAGTGATTAATTAAGTTTTTCAGGTTGAAGACAAATTTTATGTCTAACCATATTAATTGAACTAAACTTTTATGTTTTAAGCATATCATTTCAAACTTTAGTTGAAATATAGTTCAAGCCTACTATATGTTATGTTAGCTATAACAATATCTGAGTATTGTTTGAAAACGTGTTGTAGAAAATTCTTTGTAGTAGATTGAAATAAACAATTTCAAATTGAATTAATCTATAATTAATTCATTGACTATGTGAGAATTTTAAGAAGCAGTAATAATTCACTAAACTTTTACTTTGGATCAACTCAGAAAATATAGCTATTATATGTGGATGTCCAGCTCGTAACAGTCGTCCAGGAAGGGAATGTTGATATAAACTTCTCAAATTGTTTATTAACTTTGTACTCACCATATAGATAATGTCCACAAACCGCTACATCAAGCATGTATTCAGGGTAATCAGATCCCTATTGGGGAATAAATAATTTAATCAAGTTATTTTTTATATAAGTTAAGAAACTGATGTGAAATATGTTGCAATTATCTTTATAATTAAAATAAACTTACCTCAACAGCTAAATCCAGATCAAAAGTCCAAGGTTGTGGATCAGATGCACAGCCATAATAGACAAAATATGTATCACGTCCTTGAAACGGTTCTCCTTTTAGAGGAATACTGGAATCTATGCTCCATTTTATAAGTTTTACACCTGGGCGAGGACTTAGCATCAAACCAATATGATAAGGACCTAAACCAAAACAAGGAAAACATTATTTTATACTCTAATAAGTATTTGCATTATATTTACAAAAGCAATAAAAGAACAATAAATTTACCTGTAACTGTAAAGTTAAATCTCCAAACATTTTGGTTCACTAATTGTTTATTATTTAACGTGATATCTGATATTTTTGGTAAATTGGGTGCCGGTGCTGGAATCCAATGCGTTAAGGAAAGAAATTTCATAACTGGCAATAGATAAGGATATCCACAGTATAATTCCTCAGAGCATGCATTTAGATCTCTGGTCAGCTTATTCATTTCTGGAACTATAAACAAGTATATTAAATATATATATATATATATATATACATAGCTGGGCACCGTTAATCAAATAGTTAACTTCGTTAATCGTTAATCCGCTACAAAAAAAGTTAACTTCGTTAAACGTTAAAGCGTTACATTTCGGAAGAATTAACGCAAGTTAACGTTAATCGTTAATCCGTTAATATGTGTAAAATTACATTTTTATATCGTTGCGTTAGTGAACTTAAAAAACTTATTAACTTCCCGTAGGGCAAGTTATAGTAATCGCAAAAAAATCAAAAATGAAAATTTTTATATATTTTTACGTTTCAGAGGTTTCTGAACATTTTGGCATACCTTAGAAAAAATGGATGTATGTGTGTGTGTGTGTGTGTGTGTGTGTGTGTGTATGTATGTACGTGTGTGTATGTATGTGCGGATACAAATTTTCGTCGACGATTTCGGGAACTCGGATCAACCGATTTGAATAATTTAAAAAACATTCGATTCGTATTGATAAGGAGACGTGCTGATTAGTTTTTAGAGAAGGCAGGTCTAGCCGTTCCGAAGATACGGGGCAAAAGGTGCCGAAAACGGTAACTCAGTTTTTAAGAGAACGGAGCGTCCGGTTTGAATAATTCAAAAAACATTTCACTTGTATTGACAAGATGAAGAATCGATAAAATTTTCATGAAGGTAGGTCTAGCGGTTTCGGAGATCTAATGAAAAAAGTAAAAAAAAATGCCATTTGACGGTCAAAAATGATCATTAGACATATGCACATCAAATTATCAGATATTTTATAGAGATTTTAACAATAAGTATAAATTTTATTTACATTCCTATGGGTTCCGTACCAATGTTTATCCTTTAGACAGCGACGCGGCGCTTTATATTTTGTCTCTATGCAGTCCTAAAGCAGTAAAATTGCTTTGAAAAAAAGTTCAGATCTTCCAAAATATGTCAAAATAAAGAAAACATTTTTTTTTTCAAAAAAAATTAATTTTTTGTCCAATAGTTTATAGTTTCTCAAAAATCTTATTTTTTCGAAGTAAATTTTTTTCAAAAATGTTAATCGTTTTTAAAAAAATAATAATTTTAGGTACGGAAAGTACCAGCAATTTGCCTTAAGGCACAACGCCTTAATTGCCTTAAGACAGAATTCCACTTACAGCTAGTTCTTTAAAGAGTTTGTAGCTCTTTGGTTTTTCTATAGACTGAGTGACAGAATTGAAAAAGTCTTCCTCCTCGTCATCATCGTTGTTACTCGCATTGCTCCCTCCGCCACTTAAACTATCTCTGTCCTTCGAATTTTTCGCTGCTTCTTGCCATAAGGCATCTTCTACCTTTTTTAAGCCTATGGCTAAAGCTGTGCCGTGCGGTAAATAGTAGGCATTGGATTAACGATTAACGGACTTCTCGCATTTTAACGGAAGTTAACGTGTCCGTTAACATTTTTAAAAGTTAACTTAAAAGTTAATCCGTTAATCAAAATGTTAACTTCGTTAATTAACGATTAACGGATTAACGAGTTAATGCCCAGCTATGTATATATATATATATATAATATATATATATATATATATATATATATATATATATATAAAATACCTAAATTTTGTACTGAAGTCGGACTGTTAACATCCATATCTACTATCCAATATCCTGAGTCTGCTTTACGAACTTTACCATTTTCATTATGAAATATACGTAGAGTATGCTGAAAAAAACAATTGATTAATATAATTACTAGCAAACCAGTAAGATATAAAACTTACAAATATCATATATCTTTGGGGAGCAGGAGCCATCACATCTCCAGAATAGGGAAATCCTAATGGGGTAAATATTAATGCAGTCATGGATATAAAAAATACACCAGCCAAAATATTAATGACCTAAAAATATTTATAATTATTTTCTTATTTTTCAACTATATTTTATTAAATAATGGTTGTTGTACTGACCCTTTCTGGAGATTTGCACAACAGTATTAAAATTGTGACAAAACTAAATATCAAGCTGAATTTGATAGTGACCATACCGGCCATAATTAATTCAGCTGGTACTGAAGCCCCACTGCGGCCCATTATAGGTACAAACATGTATAGTGCAGCTAACACTAAATAAAAAGATTGTACAAATGGTAGACTGAATGTTGCTATATGAAGTAGTAGCCATTTTTTATCTAAAATAATTATTAATATAAGCAACAAATTATAATTGTGAAAATAACAGAAAATCTAAACTAATGATTACCCCTATAATGTCTGAAGCAAAATTGACATACAAAATTTCCTACTGCAGCAAAAATTGCCCATAACAGCGCAATAAATCCTGAGCGAATTTTTAATAAAATTGTACAAAATAAACAAAAACACCAGAAAAGATGAACAGCATCATAATATAATTGAAATAATATCCATGGAGACTCGATGACCTAGAATAAATTTGTATTAAATAAAATGTATTAAAAGGATTAGCCTTTAATATTAACAGAAAAGATTTAAAAATAATATTCCATACCTTTTTCTGTTTTCGAGTACATAGTAAAAGTACAAGCATTCCCACAAATAAAGTTGGTATAACATAGAGAAAAAACAGCCACATTGGTCTTGCATACCAACTCATTTGCCGATTTAATATCATTAAGTTCCATCCAATAAAGAGGTTGAAAAATAAGCATATTACCCAAGATAATATAACAAACACAAATGATAGAAACAAGTGTTTAACATATGATTGTTTAGAAATTCCTGTAAATACATATTTTAAAACAATTTTTGTTTTTAAAATTATTCTATGCAAGAAATTACCTTGTTTTTGAGCCACCTTCATATTTCGAAACATAGAATATAATGAAATAACCAAGGATAAAATGTTTATAATATCTGCCATCATAAATGGCCATCGTACTACAAAAGCTCCCAGAAAATCAAAAAATACTAATCCACTTTCAGTATTCTGTGATATATCAGACAACTGATGCCCATTTGCCATACCTTTAAATAAAACATACAATTATAAAACACCAAAACTGAAATATAACAATAATATGTTAGAAGATAGTTACCTATTGTCAGTGCCAAAATATTATCACCAGTTCTTTGCAAAGTTCCAAGAGGTACTTGTTTAACTGTATCATATTTAGTGTGATATACATAACCATTTGTACTCCAAGCAAAATCCAAACCTGCATCGAAAATACAATATCATCAATATTAATCCATTTTATCAAATGATTATATAAGTTATTTCTTACCAGACACTTTTCCAAAATCACGAAATATTCTAAAATCCGTGTCCCCAGGAATAACACCACTTTCAAAAATTTCTTGTGCTAAGCTTGATGCATATGGGTAAGGTACTGTATTAGAATAAGTCTAAAAGAATATTAGTATAAAAAACTACTGTTGGTGAACACTTAACCTTTTTAAAACAAATGTTTCAATGTTGAAAAATTACATGCATGATCCAAGGACTACTGGGTCCAGCTTGAAATAAAATTTCTCGACCACCAGCTCCACAAGCTTCTAAATTAATAAATGCTCTTACTTCGGCTGCCCATCTATAAATTGTAATCAATTAAGTTATCTTTTCTCAACAAATATATAATTAAATATTCACTGACTTATGTTGTGTTATGAAACCATGTGAAGCCTGCATCAAATTTTCTTCTGCTCCATTGAATAAAAATATGATATTGTGTTTGAGAATTTTATCAGATTGTGAGAGAACACGTAACATTTCAAGCATAACAACACAACCAGCACCATCGTCACTACCACCTTAAACAGTATTGCGATATAAGACATTCATATTATGCAAACAAATAATGAAGTAATGATTTATAAATGATCATAAAATGTAGAATCTCAATAAGAGTTCCAATATACCTGGACTATCTGCAACAGTGTCATAATGGCAATTAATCAGAAGACTATGTTGAGAATTTATATGGGATCCAATCTTAACTATTATGCTTTTGACATTTTTATATACATTTGTCAAACCATCTAAAAAGTTCAGCTGAAATGCTCCACTAGACTTCTGAACATCAACTTCGATTATATGCTTGTTTTTAGCATTACTTTTAATACTGTTTATTACATCAAGAAAAAAATTAGTGGCTAAAACTTCGTTCTCATGACTACTAACTATTCTTGGACCAATATTTGTTAAATTTATCAAATGATTCATAGCTCTTTCCGCAATGAACCTATCCTTATACTTATGTTCATGAGATATAAGTAATCCATTCGGAAGCTTTTTCTCAACTATGATCACAGTTATAAATACAGTTAGCATCAGTATTAGCAGAGCATAAATGTGACTAGGAGGTGTAGGTAAATGATATGGTCGATTTCCATTATTTCGTTTAGGATCATAATCATTGATTGATTGATACATCTGTAAATAAATAAAAACAAATAATCTAATCTGCTACCAAAATTGTAATTAAATCCTATTAAATCAAACAACGTTTGGATACAGATAAGTCAGTATAATTAAGAATCTGTAGAAACATTGACTGATGTGTTATGCAATTATTCATTAAATGAGCAAGTTTATGATTTAATATTTGAATGCGTGTTATAAGTTCAAAAATAACTTACTTCAATGATGACACATGCAATATATAATAAATTAAAAACTAAATTAATATAAATTGGTATTACATTAACCTTTGAACTACAGATCAAGGAAATAACTTAAAATATTAATTTATATTTACTCACATTTGTCTATTGGATGTTATAAAAGTTCACTAAGTCATCACTTAAATAAAAAAAATGAGAAATTTTCACAAATACATATATATTTCATTATAGTTTAATTCATAATTATACACAAAATTTGAGATCAAGAATACAAATGTCAAAATTGAAGACAAAACGTCAAACATGACATGTAACGAAACTGTCAATACCAACTAAAAAAAATATATATTCCAGAGAAAATTGAATAATTATTTTAAGTATTTGCTAATTAACTGCAAACTACCGAATCAATTAATGTGAATAATTACTATTAATATTGTTTCGAATAAACGAATTTAAATTAATACAGTAAAAACCGTTTTGGGATAAATAATATTTCCATGTTGGCATCATTTGACCCTATTTACAATTTCAATGTTTTTCCTAGCGGTTTAAATAAAATGAGGTTACTTTCAGAATGATGACGTATCACGACGTTGCATGATTCCAGCTGGAAATTTATACTTTAGATTCAAATAATCTAGACTGATTTTGGTTCTGAACATGAACTAATTTTTTTTTGTTAACTTATATTATATTTTAATCATTTACAATATGTCGGGTCAATGGGAAATAGTTGGAAAACCCAAAAAATCAAACGGAAGTAAGCAAAAATTATCAAAGACTGAGAAAAAGAAATTTATCGAAAATGCCCCGAAAATAGAGGATATTTGTAAGTTATATTAAAATACATATTAATCAATTAAATGTTATTTTTTTTAAATTTCATTTATATTATTTATAGTGCCATTAGCACAAGTCAAAACATTGTACACGGCTTTAGATAAAGAAATTAAACCTAAGGCTGCAGTTAAGGTTGAAAAAAAAGAAGAACCTAAGAAGCCCGCTCCAAAAAAGAATGATAAATTAAAAGATACTACCCCAAAGCCACAGAAGCATAAATCAATTGAAAGTGCTCTAAATTCAATTGATGTTGATCAAATAAAATCCATAATTAGTGTTTGTCGAACTAGGTTTTCTGATTCTTCCCTGATATGGCTAAAGGAAGTCACTACACACTTAAACAGGTACATTTTGAAGTAATAAAGTACATATTTCTGATTTCATAATATTTATTATGAATGTGTCTTGTATTTTAGTAAGCTTAATGTGGACATACCAGATCCAGTTTTTACAAATCGGCCTTTAGATTACCCAATTTCTGCAGTTCCTGACTCTTTACGTAATACTTTGCAATCTTTGATTACTGATGCTGGTCTTTCCAATTGCCAACTTTTTTATGAGCTATGTTTAACAAATATCACCAATGAAATGAGCAAAGGTAATACAATATTTCAATGGAATAAAATACATGTTATACCAGTTTAAGAAGTAAATCAATTTAATAATTAATTCTTTTTCAGGTTCTCATGCATTAGGATACAAATTAATTGCACAACTTTTAGCTTTCTCTAATCCAAAAGTTTGTGTAGCTAATCTCGCAAAGTTTGCTATACAAAGGACTTCTTATCAAAACCGTCCGCCAATTGGGCAAAGCTTATTATGGACGTTAGGGCAAGGTGGAGTTGTAGATTTATCAATTGGGCTGAAAGGTATAATTTGAATGTTTTATCATTGTTAATATATAACTTGTTATTTTGCAATTATTTATCAAAACAATGCAATTTGTTACAGTGTGGTTAGACATTATGGTACCAGTTTTAGAAATGAAACATTATACTAAATTTGTCCTGGAGTATTTAACAGCAATACTTGACAAACACAAGTCTACTACAAAATCGTTAACAAGTGATTTATTTATCCAAATATTTGATGTTCTCAATTCACCAAAAATCAATTTCTCAAAAGATCTTACAAAGCTAGTTCAAAATCAGAAAATTCTTATAAAGGTAAATTTTATTCACTATTTTATTGTGCTATATTATATTGCAATTTTATTTTTGTTAACCAAAAAATATGTGCAGGAATTCATGTTTAAAGATAGCAAGAAAGCAAATAATATCAACAGTAATTTATTTACAAGTCTTCTGAATCGTATGGATCCTAGATTATCAGATGAAGCTAAAAGAGAAAATGCAGATAGTTTAGTGAAGTGTTTTATACTCGAACCAAGTTGTTATGATTTTTTCAAAGAATGTTATTCGAAAAACTTAGTACAAAGTGCATATTTATTAGAGTACATTAATAAAAATTGGAATCAATATAATAAATCATTGGGACAGAGTAAAAAGTTTGTTAACATGTTAAAATTAGTAGAAGCAACAAATAAAGAACTTGCTTCCACTAAAAAGAAGGAAGGGTTGCAGCAGAGTATAAGAGCATGTGAGGTAAGAACAAACACAAATTTACAAGTATATTTACATATATATATATATATATATATATATATATATATAATATATATATATATATATATATACTAGATAAATATATATACTAGATAATATATGAATCCATTGCTCAATTTTATTTGAATGAAAAGTTTTCTTCAGAGGGAATGAATTCACTTGCGTTAATTTATTAACTACATAACGCAAAACTACACAAAATATATCAGACTTTTTTGGACATTGTATTTAAGAACTTATGAAAACCTATTTCTTACTAATTGAGAGAATATAAAAAAAATTAAATAATTTCGTTATCTTCATATCATATTGAAAAAATGATTTGAAGTTTACCGGTGCATCGTGCATGACATCAAATTTATATAAACGAATATTATTCCGTGTCTGTGTCTGTGTTTAATCTTGTGGTTTCCAACCTATGAGGCTGTTGCAAAATACTATTTTTGAAAATAAATAAAATTTTGAAATGATATATTGAATGAATGAATAAATAGTATTTTTTCACATGTATTTTTACATAACATTACATATTGAAATTTCTTGGCTGATAATTAAATTTTATTATTAGTTGAGTGTTTACAAAATTACATTGTTAAAAAATTAAAGGGGACGCGGGAGCGGTGCGAAAACGTTGGAAGCCACTGGTTTAATTATTCGACCTTGCGAAATCCCATAAATACATATTAACGAATATTATTCAGCATGTAAGAAGTATTATAAATTGATTTTTTTATATAATGATGCTTTTGTATAATTATTGTAAAAAAAAGTATTTGAAATAACTGTTATGCCAAAATATGAATATGTATTTCATCAATGTATTTACAAAATTTCATACTTTTGGCAGTAATTATTACCCAAATTATTTAAAAATATATGAAAAATTTGAATTTATTTAGTGATCTTCTTATCTCGATTTAGTGATCTCGATCTTAGCGGTATAAGAAATATTATTATTCCTCATAAAATGGTATTTTTTATAAAAATTATTTTATAAAAACTCCTTGAGAAGAGATTATTGCCATAGTATCTTATAAGTGCATTCAGAAATTTCAGTACTCTTTGCAATAATTATTATACAAATTATTTAAAATTTTATCTAAAATTTGGAATCTATTGAATTCTTTTTTATAAGAAATCTGTCTATGGAATCTATTGAATCTTCACATTATAAGAAATACTATTATTTATTCCTTTTTATAAAATGGTATTTTATAAAAATTCTTGGAAAAGACTGTTATGCCATAGTATATCTATGAAATGATTTAGAATTTTACCCAAATTATTTAAAAATGCATGTACAATTTATGTTTTTGTCTTCGTTTAATTATCCATCCTTGTGAAACCCCACAAATTTATATAAATGATTATTATTCAGCGTAAAAATACTGTTTGAATTCTTTTCACTTTAGTAATCGCAAAAAGATCGAAAGCGAAAATTTTTATGTATCTTCACGTTTCAAAAGTTTTTGAACATTTTGACATACCTTGGAAAAATGCATGTATGTGTGTTTTTGTGTGTATGTATGAGCGGATACAAATTTTCGTCGATGATTTGGGGAACACCGATCAACCGATTTGAATTGTGGAATTTGAAACCGAGGTGTTGACTAGTTTTTAGCGAAGGCAGGTCTAACAGTTCCGAATATATGGGGCTAAAAGTGCCAAAAACAATAACTCAGTTTTTAAGAGAACGGGGCGTCCGATTTTAATAATTCAAAAAACATTTTACTTTTATTGACAAAATGAACAACTGATTAAATTTTGGGAAGGCAGGTTTAGCGGTTTCGGAGATCTATTAAAAAAAAGTTAAAAAAGGCATTTTAAGCTCAAAAATTATCGTTATCAGATATTTTATGGAGATTTTAATAATGTGTATCAATTTTGTTTTCATTTCAATGGGTTTCGTAACATCGTGTGTCCGTTAGACGGCGACGCGGCGCTTACGCGCTTCGATATCGTCTCTATGCAGCTAAAACAGTGCGATTGCTTTGAAAAAAGTTCAAAATTTTCAAAATATTTTAAAGTAAAAAAAAAACATTTTTTTCGGAAAGTTTTTTGCCAAAAAAGTAAAAATTTCTCAAAAATCTAATTTTTTTTTTTAAAGTTTAAAACATATTTAAACTTTTTTTAAAAATTTAATTTTTGGTACGGGAAGTTTTTTCTAGTTCCAGCAATTTGCCTTAAGACTCGATGCTATCACCACTAGTTATCCAAATTATTTGGAATTTAATGTAAAATTCTGGGATCTTTCGAACTGCATTAGGTGGAATATTTTTTAACTTCCCGTAGGGCAAGTTATAGTAATCGCAAAAAATCGAAAATGAAAATTTTTACATATCTTTACCTTTCAGAGGTTTCTGAAAATTTTGGCATACCTTAGAAAAAATTGATGTATGTGTGTGTGTGTGTGTGTGTGTGTATGTGCGTGTATGTGTGTGTGTGCGGATACAAATTTTCGTCGACGATTTCGGGAACACGGATGAAGCGATTTGAACAATTCAAAAAACATTTTACTTGTATTTACAAGATGAAGAATTGATCAAATTGTCATGAAGGCAGGTCTAGCGGTTTCGGAGATCTAACAAAAAAAGTAAAAAAAATGCCATTTGGCGGTCAAAATTGAACATTAGACATATGCACATCAAATTATCAGATATTTTATAGAGATTTTAATAAGTATAAATTTGGTTTACATTCCTATGGGTTCCGTACCAATGTTTACGCGTTAGGCGGCGACGCGGCGCTTACGCGCTTCGATCTTTCGTCTTTATGCAGTTAAAGCAGTAACGATTGCTTTGAAAAACAGTTCAGAATTTCCAAAATATTTCAAAACAGATGATTTAAGATAGAATGATTTAATATGGTTCGAAATTTTATTAAAAGTTTCAAATCATTGATCAACTTTTATTGATTATTTTTGATTATTTTTAATTACTCGAATTTTGGATTGCGGTACGGGAAGTTCCAGCAATTTGCCTTAAGGCACGATGCCTTAAGCTAGTTGCTTGTTGTCTTTGTTTAATCGTTCGTCCTTGCGAAACTCCACAAATTGCATTTTAAAGCCTATCCCTCGTGAATGTTCTTACAATTTACACCCATCCTGTTCACGGCATGGCTTGACAAAACGCACACTCACGCGTCTCATCGTCAGAAAATGCTGTGTTGTTATGTTCGATCGTTTTCATTTGAGAGCGCGCGCCGCCTCTTGCAATATAACTAAATAACCAGTTATTCACTCAAATACGCGCTCAGTTGACGAACGAAATTTACTAAACATTCCTTCAACATTATACAAAATTTACTGAACGAATCATAGCTGAAGATAAAATACAAATACCCAAAATATTCCCAGAACCGAGTGTCGGTGATAAGGCCAGACCTAAATATTACATGAAGTGCTATTGTAATATATATTTTAACTAGTGTTGTTTTGTGCTGATAAGTGTACTGTAACAGGGCGAGGTAAAAATTATTTCTAATATAGGTGCATGTGTGTGTAAGTGCAAGTTGGATGCATCAAATGCATCATTATTTGTTCCTAAACTCTCTTGATGCATAAATGTGAGCAGAATGATTATTGATTTTTGAGCATGTTCAATTGTACAAGAAAGTGCCTGTCACAGAAAACGCACCTTGACAATATCGGTGTTTCATTATTAGAAAATAAATTTTTATTATGAATATAAAATTATGAACAAAGTAAGACCTACAGTTTTGATTGCCAAAGTAAATTATCACAAAAAAATGAGAAAATAATTCACAAATGGCTATATTCTTAGTGAATATTAGTTATAACTAATATTTATTCAGTAATTATAAGTATTTAAATTCTATTAAAATAATTAATTTTACTCAAATATTTTATGTTAAAAAGCGTTAAAATTATTCAATTCAGTACCTCTACGAATAATTATTATCCAAATTAATTAAAAATTTATCTAAAATTTGGAATCTATTAAATTCTTTTTTATAAGAAATCTATATATGAAACCTATTGAATCTTCACGTTATAAGAAATACTATTATTTATTCCTTTTTATAAAATGATATTTTATAAAAATTCTTGGAAAAGACTGTAATGCCTTAGTATATCTATTAAGTGTATTTAGAAATTTTCTTTCTAACGAATCTTTCTTTCTACGAATTGGATAAATAACATTTATATCAAAACTATTATATTTTGGTGGCTTTATAAAATCTATTTCATTATTGTTTTATTAAAATTTCATTATTATAATTTCAAACTAACATTTTTTATAATGGAACCACTTTTCGTAGGTTTTCAATATTTTGGAATATTAAAATTACATTAAAATTATCTAGTTAGAACTAAATTTATATAGTAATTATAAGTATTTAAATTCCATAAAATTTTATCTATTTTTATTTTATTTATTATATTTTTTTATCTATATCTTGTAAAAGCTTTAAAACTATTTATTCTCTTATTATTTGTTAATTAACCAGTACCTCTACGAATTGGATAAATAACATTTATATCAAAACTATTATATTTTGGTGGCTTTATGAAATCTATTTAATTATTGTTATATTGAAAATTCATTATTATTATTCCATTATTCCAAACTATTTTTTTTATGATCGAACCACTTTTCGTGGGCTTTTAATATTTTGGGATATTCTCTTATCGTTAGTCCATTTCAACAAAAATAAAATATTAAAAATTACATTAAAATCATCTAGTTAGAACTTATTAGTTCTTACTATAATTACTATCTATAAATATTTTTAAGAGTAATTATTAGTATTTAAATTCCATAAAAAAAAAAATTTATAATATTATATATAATTTTATATATAGTATATAACATTGTTTTATTTTTACCTGGTAAAAAGCTTTGAAATTATTTGTTGATTGGATAAATAACAATTATATCAAATCTTTTATATTTTGGTGGTTTTATAAGATTCATCTAATTATTGTTATATTAAAATATTTTAAATATCAATTGAATTGCGCCAAAACTATTAGATATATCTATCTAATATATAAAATTAAAACAAAATTAAGACCCATTAAGAGTATATGGGTTGACCACTGGGTTGCCCTCTTCAGAACAATATATCAAAGTTAAGATGTACATCCGAATAACATCTTATAGAACACGTAGTTCTGATTGCTGTTCAAATGAAATAAAAATATCAAATGAGTTAAAATAACTAATTTTCTTAATTCTTTTAAATACACACATAAATTTTGTATAAAACAATTTCAAAAGTGCTAAATATATATAAGATTCGGCGATAAAATAAAATAACTGTTTAATACCGTATTCATTCACAAAAATTCTGTGAATCGTTTTTACACTGCAACTAAATGCCATGTGCTTCATAGAAAGTTTCCAAGGTTTCTAAACCCTAACGGTTTTATACCTGAGATCAGTTAGTTGTACAATTTCACATATTTCGAATGAGAAAACTTTCTTTACTGGCATTGTTTCAATAATTTAAATCATGTAACCGTCAAAAAAAATAAAAAGAACGACGTCAATTTTTTTTTATTTAAAATTAATATTATTTGGTTCTATGAGTGAAAAAAATAGTTTTTGTTATATTAAGTTCTTCATGTTGATTGAAATAATGTGTAACTAATGGCAACTGAATTAAAGGTGAGCTCTTAGCATATAAAACCAGCTTCATTTTAATAAATCTCTTATTTTTGATTATTATATTATTTGAGCATGACGTGTCCCATAGACAGATTCCACTATGCATGCAGCTTCATTATCAAGTAATTGTTGTTAATATTGTTTGTTCATTCTATCTATTGTTCTATTATATAGACATACATATGTGGATACATATGCATATGTTATTCAATAACGCAATAAATAACGTTTGCTTAACAAATTGAAACGTGTTGAATAGTACTTTTTCTAATGTAAGTACTTCTAATTAATGATTACGGCATAGCTCTCATTTCTGATTTTAAACATATTTAAGTGCAGTAATTCATATTTCGTATTACATTTTATATTTATACAGGAGTAAAGTAAGTTAGAATGGAGAAACAATTGAGGGGCACAACTAGTCTGGATTTTTCAAAAAATCGAATTTTAAATTTTTTCATATTTCGATAGGTTATACCTTTAAAAATTCCGTACCAAAATTTTAAATCGATATTTTAAATAGTTTTTGAAGTAGTATGTGAATAGTTAGTATAACGATCATTTTATCTTTAAACGCGTTTTTCTCGAAACAGCATTTTCCGAATTTGCTGCAGTGATTACTCAAAAACAAATAATCCGATCACTATCCAATTTTTTTTTACATGTTTTATATAAAGTTCTCCGTAAAATGAACTATCGATTTTTCGATCGGATCATAAATCGAATTTTGGCAGTCCAAAAACGACCAAAATTTTGGGTAAAATTCGACTTTTTTTTAAACGCCACCATTTTGTCAATTTTTGATTTTTTTTTCTTTTTTTGTTGGTCATTTTACAGACAATATTATCTAGTTTAACGAGAATTTTTTTTTTAAATTTCATCCACGTAGAAGGCCAGAATCACTGCAGCAGTGTGAAAGACCTTCTTTTTTCGCGCCGTTGGAGATCGACGATAACTTAAAAAATATTTAATTTCTTTCTTCAAAAATTTTACTATGTATTCTTAAAACATGTGTAAATATACTCTAAAAATTATGAAATGATTGGTATTTTTTTCAATATAAATTCCCAAAAATCACCTTTTTTAGGCGGTTACACTAGTTGCGTCCCTTAACTTCTTGAAATATTTAAATAAATATTCAATATAATATTACTTAAAATGATTCTCCCTAGTGATAGTTCGTAACTTGTATTTGCAACATATTATTAAATGTTTGAATTAATTCAACTTATATTAGATAAGCAATTACTGATGACTCTTAGTTAATTTAGCTTTTACAAGCGTTTTAAAACGGAATTACATTCTTATTTTGTTATTCCGTTATTGAAACTTTAACCTCGAGGTGTCATTGGCCTATGAAAACCGTAGATACAAATTAATTATTCACATCTTGAATATTGATTAATAGTTTGCAACAGAAGTAAAATTATATGGTTCGTAATTTTAGTCTTTCTTGTATAACTCTTACCTGATTATTCTGTGTAAATTGTCGTTGCTTCAAAATTTTAATTCTTATTACGGATTATTAAAGTTGTAATTAAAACTGTACAGTTTTATCGAGTATTTATTATAAACAAGATGCCATATATTAACCTTATCCACTCGCGAATTCCGAGATCTATATGAATTTTTCCACCGGAGCGGCCGCATCCAAGTGGAAAGGGTTAAGACACATAAATATATATTTATATATTATTCATGAAGTTTCTAGTAACAACAATCTGTAATCATATTTCCACGACTGGTATATATAGATAATAAAATCTGGCTAAAATTTTTTCTCTAAATTTATTTGTCGTATTAGTGTCGACTACAAAATAATGAATATCGATGATAAGTTTGCAGTAGAAATAAGATTCGATAGTTTTTTTTATACAAATCTGATTTTTGTACGCCAATTGTCGGTGTATCAAAATTTTAATTTGTATAATGGATTATTGTATTAATTCAAAGTTTTTAATCAGGCTTTAAATAATTATCGTGCATTTATATCACAAAATGCAGCTCATAATGCATATACAAGGAATAATTAATTCTCTAATAACGTAGTATTCTCTAGTAATTCTTAATGATCTATAATCATATTTTCAAAACCTTCATAAAATCTAACTGAATCTTTTTTACAAGTTGTCTTCTGTCCTATTAGTTTGGAAAACAGTGATAAGTTCTATATAATCAATCCTAATTAACTGTAGTTCTCATTATTGCTCAAGTAATAATTATCCCCAAGGTAGAAAAAAAATTCAATGTAATTCAATTTAGTTATCGTTTAGTAACTAGATAAGATAAAAACACACTCAAATTTTATTTGTGATATGAGTAAAATTGTTGGAAATTCATTGATTCAATATTACCTTTATCAAAAGTTCATATTAGTCACAAATTTTAATTTATAACCATCGATGTGTAATTCATCAATGGTGTTCTTTTGAAAAGTTTATTCAAAAATGTACATCTGGCGCACAAAATTAGCTTGATATATTTAAAACAACTAGGTGTTAGTGGCATGTTGCCATAGTCAGTTGCACGTTGCACATAATATAAATAATCGACATAATAAATAATAAATGAGATTCAGCAACTTTTCAAATTGTGCCCATTATTCCAAACTAATATTTTTTTTTATAATCGACTACATTTCGTAGCTTCTAATATTTTAGGATATTCCCTTTCGTTTCATCAAAATAGTCAAAAAATTTAATAACTACGAAGAAACGGCTCGGCTCATCTTTTCCAGAAAACTACACAGCACATTTTTCTGGTACCATTCGAAAAATTCTTGAATTTCAATCGGTTTTGGCGAATACGTTTATGAAAATTTTTGAATTTCTGGCAAACGGTCCGGCAGATAGTGGCATAAAACTAATCAACACGAGTATTTATCAAATTTCATCAAAATGCTTTTGAATCGGTTTTGCTATATTTGAGAAAACGTCGACGAAAGCTCAATTTTTTGTTCAAATGAACACACTTTTCCTTCGGGAGATTAAAAATAATTTATATACATATATGTATATACTTGCTTCGAACTCTTTAGAATAAATCCTAAATCGTACTTTTATCTCTCAGCATTTTAATGCTATTTACTTAGTTAATGCTCAATGTGATATTCAATTTTCTGTTTTCTCTTATCATTTTTTTTATCAATTTTCTAAAGTTATTTAGTATTATTTTTGCATTTACTATCGACTTGCGAATGCTACAGAAGTAGCTTATAGAAAGTGAATGTTCTATGAAATTCTTATTGTGCGCAATGTGAGTACTGCTTTCTAAATGTGAAATGCATCATAGATTCGAACTTGAACTATGTACTATTTAATCGTTTGAACACTCAGATAGATGATAGAAAGTACAGATAAATTTGTATTCAATAAATTTTAAATTTTAAAGCAAGTTAATTTGTTTAAAACATTATTCACATTGAAGAAAACTTCAACTATGCACTATTTAATTCTTTAAATACTCTGCTAGTTGTTCAAGTACAAAACAAAATTTGAATCAACTTTTAAATTTTACAGTACGTGTGATTTTAAAACATTAATTATAATATTTTTATATCAGTCCATCAAAAATTATTTTTGGCGGATTTTTGCATTAGAGATTTAGCTATGATTAACATATATGTTTTTGTTTTAGGCTTTATTAGAAAAAATGTCTAAAAAGAAGGGGTCATCACTTGCTTGGAAAATCACAAAGGTTTTCTTATTAGTATTTTTGATGGCAGGATTGGTTGTGGCTTATGATATTTCAACATATAAGTCCTTTGAAAGTAAGTATAAAAATTAAAATAACAAAAGCTTTACTTTTGTTTTTATGGATTTAATTATTATTGATTACTATCAAATTAAATTACATCATAACAAATTATATTAAATAACTAAATTTTTTGCAATAAATGGATAGTTGTCAATTTTTATTTATTATTTCAGCTAGTATACATGGTCAAGTTTTAACAAAAACAGGTCTGTTACCAATAGCAGAAAAAGCTGGTGATCGATTTTTAGTTTACTCAGCAAGAGGCTACAAATGGGCTGAACGTAATCTTCCTGAATATTATAATCAGACAGCTGTTATTGCTCAACCTTATTTAAAACTAGCAAGTGATGCACTTATTAGTGGGCGAAATGTTGTGGTTGATCTCTATGGAAATGTTAATGATTACGTACGAGAGAAAACTCCCGTTGTAGTGAATGCTGTGAGTATATTAGAAGTATTATGAGTATAGTAGAAGGTTGAGCTAAAAATTTAGAAAATGGTTTATATTTTTCTCCATTATATAGTTATTTAAATTATAATGTTATTCAATTTATTGCTTGACTAAACCATATAATGCATTTGTCTTTGAATGTTACAGTTATTTCAATACATATTTTTATTCCTATAGATTTTTTGGTTCTGATAGTTTTAGTTTATTTAGGATCATAGATAAAGAAGTTTAGGATGTAACTTCATTGATTTTATTTTATAATAAATTAGACAAAATTTTAGTTTCAGATGAAAATATTTATATTTTTAATGTTTTTATTTATTTAAAAATATTATTTATGGAAAGAATTTTTTAATAAGCATTTGCAATTGCTCTATTTTTTTTATAAAGCTGGTATATTTCTTATTTTGCTCAATAAATTTTCAATGTTCAGAGATCAAAATTTTTAAATATATATTTATTATTGAAAGATTGATTTTATTTTTTCTTTTAATCATAGATAAACGAGTATGCACCTGGTCTTCTGGACACAATTCAGAAACACTCCGTTAATACATGGTCAACAGTTAGTGGTTTCTGTGTGCAATACATTGATGTGGGCCGTGATTATTTGAAGACTAAAGTATTTGTGTAAGTAGAGTTTCATCATTTCATTTATATACATTTATTACAAGATCTATATTTTAAATTTAGAATAGAATTGCTATAAAATCAAATTATTATTTTTGTAGTGGACAATTATCTCCTGAAAACTTACACAAAGTTACATTGGAAGCATTTAATACAACACAACAATACGCATCACAGTATTATAGCTGGCTATATGAAAAAGTTGATGCATACTCAAAACTGAAATAATAAGAGCATGTGTGCAGAATACTGCATTGGGTATTTCAAGTAAAATTTAATCATTGCATGTTAACTCATGCAATGAATTATGTTTATAATTTATTAATTATTGTGTAATTTGTTGTAAAGATTTTATAATACAATATGTAATGTACAAAGTAATCATTGTTTTATCTATATCGCACTTTCTAAGAATAACTTGTTGATTAAAATAAATGTTTATTTATTTCAGCATATAAAATAATTACATAAAAGAAGGTGAAACATCACAGAATTGAATTCCTTAAATATGTCCATGTTAATTGGTGCGAAAATTTTGACTAATCAAATCAATAATTGATTTTTAAATTAACTCAAGAATTATATTTAAATATTTCTCAATTAGCAATTTCAAGTGCTTCTAAAGGAAACCATTTTGAACTTTCCAAGGCATCCCACAAATTTCTATCTCGTTCGATTATTTCTCTATTCATACCTTCAACATCTACAGTAACTTTATGATCTGAAATAAAAATAAAGGGAATTTAGAAATATAAAATAAATAACAAAGGGAATAAAGAGTATTTATGTAATGTTTATACCAATTAAAGCAAGTTCATCTTCAGCTGGGTCAGGTGGTGGAGCTTCTTGAACGTATGATGTTGGAACTGGTGTTTCAGTTGATGAATAAGTGCTCTCGGTAGTAGTTTGTGAGTCATAATAATTATTTTGCGAAGACCAAGCAGCTGAATAATTTTGCCAGTATGTAGAAGGATCATAATATTGTGTGTAATCTTGCTGTTAACAGAAACAAAATAATAGCATTATTACATTGGTCAAAGCAAAAATTTTACATTTTAAAAAGTGGAAATATAATGTTCAAAATAAAATGATGTAATATTCTTACAGCAGCAGTTGTAGTATATGTTGATGGGGTTGTAGTAGTAGTAGTTGTTGTTACAGTTCCTTTTGGTTTAGGAACTGCATTACAAATTTTCAAGGCTTTTGTTCCAAGACCAATATATCCATTCATTGCATACAGAGCATTTTTTTGTTCATCTTCACTTCCAAATCTGACAAAGCCGTACCCTTTACTAAAACCAGATGCATCCAATATGACTAAAATAACAAATACATAGTTAAGTATCTATTATATTTATGCAACTGTTTAATGAAATAATATATGGTACCTTTTGCTGTTTTAATCGAATTATACTTTGATGAAAAAGTTCTATAAAGATTATAATCGTCCACATCTGAGCTTAAATCGCCTACCCAAACCGAGAACTCACGTTCCGAAGTTGATAATCTTCCTCCCTGGGTGCTGGCATTATTCAATCTGAATCGTACTACAGGATTTGTACCAGGAATTGGTTTTCCATTTAATTTATGCATGGCATCAATTGCTGTTTCATCAGTTGCAAAATGAACAAAACAATATCCAGCAGGCTCACCGGAGTATTTGTTTCTCATTATTTTTACATTTTGCGGATGCTCGCCCATTTTTTGAAAGGCTGTCATGACGAAGCTTTCAGTCATGTAGGGCTCCAACTAAATAGATTATATTAGGTAGTTTAATAAAAACTAGTTGAAAAACATAAAAGTGATAGCAAAACTTACGCTTCCCATCCACAATTGACAATGAATCATTTTGAATTATTTGTTATTTCTAGTACACTCCTGAAATGCGTAAATAAATAATATTTACTTGAAAATAATACAAATATATTTATAAAATATATTTTAATGTTATATGTTTGGTACTAATAAACATAACCTAACAAACATGTTTCATCATAAAATTGTCATAGTCGCCGCCAATCTAACGAAACGAAAACGAAAGTGTATAATTGTGTATGGTTGCCTATCTATATAAGCATATTTAAGTATATCTATGATCTACAGATTGACATGTGTCTGCAAAATATTTGATATTCAAATGTCATATTTGTGAATTTTGGAAGTTTATTATAATAATTACGTAAAATAGTTTACTGCTTTCGTCGGTTAGTATTAATAGATTAATACCTATTACTTTCATTTTTGTCATAGGAATTGCGTTCATGTTTTGAACTGGTATCCAAAAGGTTATATTATTTCGTTGTTACGTCATTTTTACTACTTAAATATACTGCAATAGTTTTAGTCAATACTAAAGTAATAATTATATACTTACGGTTTAGTACTGATATTTATTTTATTTGAAAGTAGCACCGCACACAGTTCTAAACTAATGCCACTTTTACATTTTCATTATCTTCAAATGTTCAATATTCTATTGTAAACTATATTATCAATTGTTGCTTTTTGATATATCAATATTGATATCATTGAAGTTTTAGTGTGTTCACCCACGTTTATTTATCTTTTACAGTTACTAAATTAAATGGTCTTCTGTCATATTTATATGAATTCTTGATAATTTCAGTTCACAATGTCTCTCAGTCCGGCATTCCGTACACCTTTTACTGACTTAACAGGACATTTAGCTAATCATCAATATTATTCTCCATGTGGTAAAATGGAGATGAAAATGATGAACTGCTTAGAAGCTTATGGACTTCATAAGGGTAAACAAGTATGCGCAGATATGATAGAAGATTTCAACGAATGCGTTTTGAAGAAAAAACAGCTTAAAAGATTAGAGGTATTGTAGTCTTAATAACTTCAATATCATTATAAGAGTAAATAAGATACATTATTTTAATAAGAAACATTATTTTAATTAAAAGCAATTGTATAATAATATTCAATAGCTAATTAATGTGATATTTTTAGATCATGCTTAATGAACGTCAACGTCAATATGAAGCAGGGGAACGTAGCAAAGAAGAGTATTTTGCACCTGCTCCAAGAGTTGATGCTTATTAAATTAATTAAAAAAATGATTACTAGTGTGAAAATTATTTGCCGAACAAATATATTGTAATAACCTATTAATGCTGTTGTTTTTAATTAGTTGTGGTGCTGTTTAGATAACAATAATCAAATTTTATGCATATAATATTGGTTTTAATTAAGCTCATAACTTTTGTGACGGAATTTATTTTCAAACGATATTGTAGTTTAAAACCCGCGGCCATTTTGATTAATTTGTGTTTGCCGCGTCTATTGCCTTGGCGGCGTTCTCATCTGTCAGTTCAGAAATCCCGCGTTTGTGCAAGCGTCATTGTGTTCTGCTCAATAATAATAATAATTTATAGTTGTTAATGGTGAAAAAAGGTTTAATTTTGATCAGTAAACGTGTTTTAAATGTACATTCCATATGTACGTACATATTTAATCGAATGTCGAATGTTTTTCTTTACCAAATGTCAACGGGTTAATAAACAACATTCTGCTGTCAAATTGACGTTTGGAAGCACAACATCGCAGTTCGTTTCAAGCGTTAGTACGCAATAATTGTTAATGCTTTATTGATATTGACAATAAGTTTAATGTGAAACATTAATTTGTTTGTGTATATCAAATAAAAATATTTTACGAACAATTAAAATCGTGCCGCCAAAAAGCTGTAACTTGCAACTGACTCCATGATGAAAATCAAACTACGTAAGTGTTTATATATCATTTTAATAATTATAAAATATTTGATAATATGAATATTGATTATGAAAATATAATATAAATTAATTAAATTACTCATTTATTTTAGCTTTATTGTCTATTTTTCTATAGCTTGTTTATTAGTTAAATTTGTATTTGGCAGTTGTGTAAATAGATTATGTAAATAATCGAAATATTCGTGTTTTTAACGACTTGCATAACGATTTTTTTTTATTTTATATAACCTTTATATATACATATATATATATATATATATAATATATATAAATATATATCTATTTATATATATATATATATATATATATTTAATTAATAATTAATATATATGAATTCCTTTGATTGATAGGTTCTGTTGAATAGATGAATTACTTTATTGCAATATGTTTGAATTAGAATTGTGTATAAGATGTAATTACCACATCTTGAAACCTAAAAGAATTTCTAATTTAGTAATTATTTTCTCACTATGTCAGTTCAAACTTTCATCAGTAGATGAACGGATTCTTATTGGATTATTGTTGGATTCTTATTGGGTAGCAATACAAATAATACCGTAAAATAGATGCAGAGATATTATTCTTGACTGCTATAGGATTTATAGTTTTGTCCTTAAAGTTAGGCGTTAAAAATTGGTTTAAACTTCTTCATTTTTATTCCATTTTCGACAATATATTTTATTCTGTTATATAATTATTATGAGTAAGTTCTTTTAGGATGAGTGGAAAAAATATCTATTGCAGACTCTTGTGTTTCACATTCCATATTTAGAAAAGGAAAATGTGAACAAATTTCAATTGTGATTCCAAATTTTCAAAGCTAGGAAGGCACCTGTTTTTATGTAAATGTTCTTCGCCATTTAACATCGATGTAGGTACACTTCATGAAAACTATCACAAAAAGTATGCAAAATAATACAGATTAAAAAAAAAATCAGTAAGGATCGAAAAATTTTATAAATCTTATGTCAGCCCTGAGACATTTACGCTTTTGAAAAAAAAACTATTTCAAAATTATTTCAAATTACACATTGTCCAAACAATTACACATGTCCAAAAAGAAAAGTCGCTGGAAAATTATATACAACTCCAAATTTTCACTCTCCTATTTCATAATAGTCATATTAGTTGTAATTTTTATTTATATCCCACATATTTATACATTCAAAATTAGGTAATTATTTTTTATACTAATATATATATATATATATTTATATATATATATATATAATACGTGCGGCCCGCCGTGAAATTTTAAAATTCAAATTGGCCCTTGCGTTGAAAAGGTTGCTCGCCCTTGTTTTAGGGCAATTTATCAAAGAAAAAAAAAACAAGACTTTCGACATATAAATATAATTCCAAGCGTTTCGACATACAATTTAATATCATAATCACTGGATATTGAAATTGGTATCTTACATCTAAATGTGTGTATGATCGTTTGGTATTAAAGATTAATTTATAATTTATTTTATTCTTTGATGTATCGCCCTAAAAGAACTTACTCATATATCTCAAAATTAAAATTAATTACTAAATCATATATTATTATATACATAAATTTCAGTTTATACGCCCTCTTCACCACCAAATTATATAAAACGCAGTTTAGTCAGAAATTTCATTTGGTGTTACAGCAACATCTGCAAGATCGTAAAACTGTTTATTATTCGTATTTCTGAAGAAATATTTTTATAAATCTACTTTATCTAATAACAGCAAGGTAGCAAGCAAGATATAATTTTTGCTATATTTATGTTTATTAACTAAGCGATCGTTCAAGTATTACGTAAGCAGATTTATTACAATTATTTACCCCCCCCCATCCCCCTTGTCAGCAAAAGTTAGCAAAGCTCTTACCCCCTACCCCCTAACATTTTGCAATCAATGTATTGTTTTTTTAAATATTGTAATTATAGGTTATAATTATAATTTTTTAAAATTAGAAAATATATGTAGAGATTTTACTGATATGGTATTCAACATAGAGTAACAAAATGATTATAATATTACGAACATAAAATTATTTTAAATTTTGGTACTGGAAAAGACAATGTAAGGTTGCCATTTGGTTAAAAAATAAAAATACTACCTATAACGTAATCATCATCCAAACTCCTCTGCCACCCCATGTCAACCCAAAATAACAAATCAACAACCCCCCCGCTCCCCTATAGTGCTTACGTAATACTTGAACAGCCCCTAAGGTGTAGATTTTCTTCAATTTTTCACGAAAAAAAAATAAAAAGTTTGATAAACTAACGAAATTACCAACACTATTTATATTTTACTAGTCTTGTCTCTCGAGCTTCTCGGTACTTCACGTTCACGGGGATTCTACGCAATCAATCACAAGCGATCATGCGTTGATCAATCAGTCAATAATCAATCAAAACCGAACGATAATCGATCAAATATGTCGTTTGCATGAAATATCCACAGGACCTGGGAAGCTGTAGCTGGCACCCAGTGACCGGCGATGACCGTCCGATTACGGTGAAGAATTCTAGGCTGACAGGGAGAAGGACAGTTTTAAAACGGGCTAAACTGCCTAACTTTTAATTGATAATTTTGATTATGCACCCATAGTATACGTTTCTAATATCTCATTCAACCTTGAATTTTCTATCACATCAGTCACTTAACTGTAACCAAGATTTCAAAGCTGATCCTTAAGGGATTCAAAGTCTGCTCATCTTTGAATCAATTGAATGCAAACATGCATTTAATTATTTATTAAGCTCAATAAGTATAACCCTATTGAAACGATCTGCATCAGTTTCTGCACTTTCGAACATAATTTTGTTTTCTCCCATAATACGCTTTTCCGTATAAGTTTTTTTTTACACGGAAAGCATTTTTTGTCCGGTCTCTGGAAATCGTCTTAACGAGGTTTTACTGTATGTGATTCGTTAAATGGCCAGTGCCAACGTTTGTACATAATTTGTGTTCTGTTTTCTGGTTCAGTCAGGCGTAATAAATGTCGATATTTTGGTAAATATAC